TTAACACCCTGAGCTTTCCAGCCCGCTTTGAGGTGGGGCAACAAGACAGCTTCCCAGAACTCGCTGGGGACACGTACCCACCTTTGCACGCTGCTGTGGGGGGAGGAGGAGAGGGGAGCCGAGAGATGCCAGGGGGAAGTCTGGTTGTACAAGCGGAGCTCCTGCAGGCTGTCCACCAAGTGCCTCAGCCTCTTCCTCTGCTGGTTGATGATCTCCCGATTGTTCGTGAGGGCACTGAAAAGAGTCTCCCGCTCTGGGACCATTAAGCGCCTAGTCAAATATATAGATGGACACGGAGGGAGAATCAAAACTTAACTTGGTGGGGAATCAAACTCCCATCCTCTGGTTCCTTGGCCAGAGACCTAAACGATGGAGTTCTCCAGCCAGCGACCCTCTCCTGTACCATGCCTTTGAAGCAGAGGGGGAGGGGACCAGAGGGAGAATCAAAACTTAACTTTTGGCAGCAAGAGACAAGAGGCGAAGGGTGGTGCCCTTGGACTACTGTGCAGCTGGACCAAGGCAACCCAGGCTGGTGTAAACTTTCTTCTGCCAACAAAAGGCATTTTTCATGAAGTTTTCCACCTGGCCAGAGACCTAAACGATGGAGTTCTCCAGCCAGCGACCCTCTCCTGTACCATGCCTTTGAAGCAGAGGGGGACGAGGTCAAGCAAGAGGGGCAACATTTAAATCCTATGTGTCCTCCTTACAGAAAGACGTTGCTGAAACAGATCGATCACGGTTGATGACCAAGCAACGGTCAGCTTAACAAGCTGAGAAATGAACAACCCCCTTTTGAAAATGTCCACGGTTTACACCAGCTGGTCATAGGCAAACAGGTCAGTTTTGGTCACAGTCTAAATTTGCTAGGGATCTTGTCTTGGGGAATCTCAGATTCTGTTTTGTTTGAGTCAGCATGGCTTAAAAAATGTTAATGTATAAAAATTCCAATGCGTTTGAGCAAACGTCTCATAGCTAGCTCTCCCCTAACACCCGTGGTTTTTAACAAGCCGTTCCCCCAACGTAGGCTTCATGTATTACTTCCATTAACACAATTTTTGTGTAAACTTTCTTCTGCCACCAAAAGGCATTTTTCATGAAGTTTTCCACCGGAACACCTAGCTCAGAACTCAGAAGAGGGAACGATATCTAACCCTAGATACTTCAATCAGGTTTCAGGAAGTGTGACTGAGATAGCTTCTTATTTTGATACAAATTTCTTCCCTCAGGCTTGCAACCCTTCTGCTTGTGTATACTGGCCAGGTCTAGCCTTCATGACTGGGCAAAAAGGGGAAATTATAGTCAATGGAAGACTGCCCAGTTGGATCCTGCAAATAGAAAAGTGCAGATGCCAAGCTGCTTAGTCATGTTTTAGCTAATTAAGCCAAGATATGAGCAGAGGAACACAGCCTTTAAGTGAAGCTTATCTTAACACACCTTTAATGGTACACAAGGGGCTCAGCCTCGTGCAGACACTTCGATATGGCAGCTGGACTTACAAGGGCCTTGTACCTGCCGACCCACTTCCTGATACCAGACCTTATTCACCCCAAGGTCAAGCCACTTACTTCTGCTTCTTCTGCTGCTCCAGATGACGATCCCATTCTAAATCAAGCACATCGTTCACGTCCTGAACAGCAAATTTCACGTACTGGTGCAAGCGGCGGATTTCCTGCCCAAACAAGAGAAGATTTCACTGCACAGCAACCTTTTAAGGGACCTCCTAAAGAGTTTGCTGGTTCACCAAAACTGTGGCCGTAAGGGCAACTGAGTGGTGGATTTCCACGTCTTGCTGGCTATCCTTTTCCTTGGGGCGGGTGGGAGAAATAAGTGCTTCCCTTAGCTTGTCTGGTCCTTGCAGGATTCTAACAGGTGTGGCTTTCCTGGATGTCTAGGTTGGCCCTAAAACCATAAAGCAATTTCTCCAAAACGGGGATGGTTGGGTGGGGTTGCAAGACCCCTCACAAAAAAGCAAGTACTTAGAAAGCGGGAGGGGGGAATTAAGAGACCTATTTTTAGCCCTCTCGCTGCTGTTTTAATTACGGCTTCTGCACAGAGGACGCATCCCATATTATGCGTGTGCGTCCAAGCTGAGTCAATTATACCAGAGCACCAGGGCTCCGTTCGATCTCCGGCGCAAGAGGGGAGGAATAACTTGTTTAATTCTGACCCCCCCCCAAGGGAGTGGAGGCACAAGTCGCTTCCATCCACCCCACGGGGCTCCCTGCTCTCCATCTCATTCCAAACCCCGTTTTCCACACCGGCAGGCACTTCCGCCTGCGAGGCGGTCTTTACGAGCCCATCTGGCTTTAAGCTTTGCCATCCATGAAATTAACTGCAACCGCTCCATTCCTTATGAGTCATTGTGTTGGAACAGCAACAGCACAGCGGCTGAGTGACAATAAAGCCATCTCCAGCACTTGTTTAAGGAAAATGGACTTACGTTCTTAAAGTGACATTTCCTAAAAAGAACTCTGCCTTCCACAACTCGAGGTTTTCCAGTCCAACAAAACCTGGCAGGCCACACATACCCTTAATACCCGTGTTCCATTCCTTATGAGTCATCGTGTTGGAACAGCAACAGCACAGCGCGGCTGGGTGACAATAAAGCCATCTCCAGCACTGGTTTAAGGAAAATGGACTTAGGTTTTTAAAGTGACATTTCCTAAAAAGATCTCTGCCTTCCACAACTCGAGGTTGTCCAGTCCAACAAAACCCGGCAGGCCACACATACCCTTAATACCCGTGAGCTGTATTAATCAAAGAGCCTCAGATAAAAGAAATACCTGAAGCTGGGCTTCGCTCTTGGGGTCCAAGGGCTTCTTATAGAGGAGGTGTAAGTACTCGGAGTTGTGAGCCCGCTCATTCTTCTCTCTTGCGTCTTCCACCCCGGCATAGCCCTCCAGCAGGCTCGTCTTCAGGAGGCTGATGTCTCCATGAAGTGACTACAAGAAAGAGATTTTTTTTTTTAAGTGAGGAAAGTCCACCAAACAACAGTGAATTTCTCTGTCAAAGCAAATAATGTGGCTTTCCACAGAAACAGCGGACTGCTGTGGATCAAGAATGTAGAGACTAAGCTGGCATTCACTCCAGTGGCGTATCAGGATGGGATTTTTCGGGGGGGGGGGGAACATCACCCTGCTGACATCAGAACCTTCACAGTAGTGCACATGTAAGAAACGAGGAAAACCATGACCCAAATCAATGGGAAGGAGAGTTTGAAAATCTATGACAAAATACATCAAAATGTTCCTCACCCCACTATGCAGGGCTTAGAGAATGATATTTTTTTTTCCTGCCACAGACTTTCCCCGAACTCCACTCGCACGGCATCCTCTCGACATATTGAAACACAAACCACTGACGGCAGTTCAGACCCCTCAGGGAGGAACTGAATGCACTTCACCGTTCTGCCTTCCCTGCTCCTCCGCCCCAGAAGCCTCTCACCTCGGTGGTCTCCTTGATCTCCAAGAGGAAGGTGTGAAGGTCGTTGGACTCCGTCCTCAGCATCTTCTTCTCCTCCTCCGTGCCCACCTGGAAAGAGGCCTTCGACGTCCTCCCTTTCAACTCTTCCATCTCCTTCTGGAAGTGTGCGATCTGTGGAGGCAAGCCCGGCTTGTTTAGCTTTTCAGATGCAACTTGAGAAGCAAGGGGGGGCGTCTCCCTAGGAATATTTTAAGGCAACCAGCGGAAAGGGGGGGAAAAAACAGGCCTGTGCTTCATCGCTTGCCCACAGCGTTCGAAATGAACCCGATACTGTTGAAACAAGGTCCAATTTCCTACCCGACTGATTCTAATCAAGAGAGGCACATTCTTTTTTTCATCCCTGAATTCAAAGGGGAGGTTAAATGCCATTCACACACCCAAGCCAAGTTGGGATTGTGGAAAAAAATAAGAATTAACCCCACCAGGACGAGTCTGATTCCCTCCATTATTCCACGTGTCCTTTCTCCCCTGAACGAGGCACACTGAGAGTGCTGTGCTGACTCTCACGGCGCAGCACAACAGGCAGGCTCCTCTGCCGGAAGAAGATTCTGCTGCGTCTCTGGTACCAGGAGCGGCAGAATAAGCTGAACGTAACTGATGCAAAAAATTCTTACTGGGCAGAGGCACTGTCGTGGCTTCTTCCTCACCCATCCTTAAGGAGCAGCCTTGGTCAGTATCGGACCACGCTGACCTCCATTGCCAGCTCTGGGCGGCTTCCTCTAAACTAAAGACTTGAATTTACTCTTGGTTCCTTGCACTGCATGAGCTGTTTTTACTTGGCAAACTCCTTGCTGACTATTGCACTTGATTCCAGTTTTGAAATTTCTAACCACTGGCCAGAAGACGCTTCAAAAGATGACCAAAGTGTCTCTCTCACCTCCTCTCTGATCCCTGCAATGACAGGATCTGAATCTTTCCACTGATGAAGCGGCTTCTCTGTCCCAGCACTCAGAGGTGGTTGACGGGCCTGGGAAGAACAAAGTTTCAAAAAAGGGGAAGAAGGGAAAAAAACCCTGCCCGATGCAGAATTTTTTAGGATTGAATGTTTTGGGCTAGCAAAGATTAAAGGCAGAAAACATTCTCAATGTTAATGGTGATGGTTAACATTAAGGCGAGAGTAACTCGTAACATCTTTTCGCATTCACCTAAGACTACAACAGCAACAACAAATCCAGTTTGCCCCTTACCTGGGAAGAACCTGATTTGGACACAGCTGGAGAAACCTTGGATGTTTTTTGGAGCACGAAAGCCGAGGGAACGTTCTGAGAGGAACGGACCGCTGGATTCCAAAACATAAAAGCAAAAAGATCAGGATTTCGGAAGCTGAAACATAAGGTCAGAGGCTAAGCCCCTGAGGCAATTCCTTGTTCTGTTGCACCAACACAAGACGGGCACTGCGGTATGGACGCCGAAAGCCCAGAGCAATATTCTGTCAGAGAGAAGGCAGACCCTCTGAAGAGCTCTGAAGGTACACGTGAATGCCCTGGGCTGACGGGCTCATAGCACGGCAGCAATCATATCTGTCTGGCCCTGAAGAAATAACTCGCCAGTGAAAGTTGCAGACTGAATTTTCATCTCCCTAAAAGCTTCTAGTCTTCAGCAGTAGCTTTTTTAAAAAAAGGAAACAACACATTTAATGCTATTTTTTTTTTTACAAAAGGCAAGGAAAAAAGAAGGAACCTACTAGCAGAAGATACTGGAGTGGAAGTCTTTATTGGTGCAGCTGGAGAGGAGAGCAGAACAGTCTGGATCTGAGGTCCTGTAGAGGCCGGCTTTGCAGCCGGGGAGAAAGAGAACATGGCGGCGCTTTGGCCAGCGGTGACGGCGGTGGCGACGGGAGCAGACGATTCCAGAGCTGTGAACCTCAGAGAGGAAGGGCAAGAAGCAAAGACTAAGGCATGTTTCACCTGGTAGGGATAAGGAAGCTTCCACCTGCTCTCAGGGAGGACTGCCCGCCCCCCGCGGTCACCCATCTCAGACCATCTCGTTCGAGGCTCCGACAACACGTGAGCAATTGGCTAGATTGTCAAGAGGCAAGGATCTAGGCCTTGCCCATCGAACCACAGAGCAAACGGACTCCACTAGGAGAGTGCTCTGGCCAGTAGGGGAGCGGCTGCATCTCCCCGGCAGAGCAAAAAAACCCGCAGGACGCTCCGCGTGGGGTCGCCCTCACAGCTGGGTCTGAGTGTTGTGGCAGAATATGCAGCAGCTACTGCCAAAAAGAGGAGAGCAAGTTTGTGTTTTTGGGGTGCCTCGGGAATTTTCGGAGCCGTAGTCCAAAAACACAGAGCTGCACACCCCTGACAGACTCCCCTCCAAGTCCCAGCCAGGCTTGACCTTGTGCACCTCCTCCAATTAAATCAGGTGGTACAGAATCTGAGCACCTCAGGAGGAGGACGGTCAGGCAGGTAACTATCGGTAGCCTGCAGGAGAAAAGGTGAGCTAACGACCTTCTGTGATAGAACAATGCAAGCTTGCTTTTTTGCGCTTCTAACCAACTGGGTCACAAACTAATGGTTTTTAACTAAGAGATTCTGACTAAACATTAGAGAGAACGTTCTGATGCTAAGATCTGCTTGACAGGGGAAAAGACCGGGATCTTTTTCATCTGAGATCACTGAGCTGTGGATTCTAGGGGCCCAATTCGAACCCGACAAAACCCAATGACACAGCCACTTCTTCAAAACGGCAACCCATCGCTTGGGCAAGGCCGCTCAAACGGAGGACTTACTTTTCGCTGAGGTTAACCTTGACGGAGGAAGCCGAAGGGGTAAAACTTTGTTTTGGCCCAACAGGAGCGGCAGAGGCCGGAGGGCCCGCTGGGCTTTCTGCGCTGGTTTTGAAAACCCCAGAGCCGAACGAGAATGAGGCGGCAGAGCCTGGCATGGGACCAGCCGACGGTGCCGGCGTTTGGGGCACTTTGGAGGCAGCCGGCGAGGAGAAGACGGCTGCTCCGCTTAGATGGGAAGCCGGCGGAGGCGGCTTGGAAGTGTCTGGTGGGAACGGATAGGGCTGAGAGGAATCCCCAGCAGACCCGGTCGCTTTCAAATCGGTGGACGAAAAGGAGAAGGCAGTTGCTCCAGTGCCTGACGCTGAAGCTGCAGCCGGAGGAGCAGCAGCTGGCGGGGCCGTTTCCACTTTTGAAGGAGTAGCAGGAGAGGCTGAAGCGGGAGGCGTACTTCCTGGGGTGAGAGGATCAAAAGAAAGCAACCGGAGATTACTTGATGACCCTTAAGATGCTTTGTAGCTGGGAAAGCGGCATGTGCCGAGGTGATTGTGAACGTGGCGTCAAAGCAAGGTGGCTTAAGGGTGGGAGAAGCTGGGATGAAGATGCAATGGGAACACAGTGAGGTACCATTGTATTACTCATTGTGCAGCTTGTCGCATCAACACAAAGTGCCAATTTTAATTATTTTAACATGGCATATTGACCGTGTTATTTCCAAGTTCAGAAAGCAGCAGCAAGAGAGTCATGTGCACGCTGCCTCACGTTCAACAAATGAAAGGTAGGACAGAAAGTTAACAAATAAAAGGAACAACAATACCCACAGATTAAAGTTATGGCAAATGGAGCGCTTTTTGGTAACCTTGAGAGCCTGCCAAGGGCTGGATTCAGCTGACTTGGGGGAGAAATCTGTACACGCGAGTATTTACGTATATATAAAAATGTGTTTATAGGCACACACGCATACACACACACACACACACTCCAGTATTTACGTATATATAAAAAATGTGTTTATAGGCACACACACATACACACACACATCAGAGCTACGACAGACAGGGCAACGTAGAAACAGAAAACATTGGCTTAAAACACAGGAGAGAGGCCCTCTGCCTCGTAGGCCAGCCCGACCTACATGACCCCGCCTGCCCAAAGGCCGAGGCTCAATCGATACCGCAATTTCCTAAGTCAAGTTGCTTTTAATTGAGCTGGGAAGAGCTGCCGGAAGACCTCCCGCCACCTCCATCGATTATGGAAGCGAGCGTGTCGGCCTGAATCGAACAGCCTGCCTGGAAGCGAGCCGGCTGGCACTGGGGAAGGAGGAAGGCGCCTGTGTGAGATGGAGGGATTCTCTAACCAACGGGAAGTGTAAGGGCAGGGACAGGAAAGGTGGCGGCCATTGCAGGCAAGGTCCAACAGATGGGTTTTATAATCCACAAATAGTTCTTGTCTCCTGCGCTCCAAGGACGAAGACCTTTCAGGTTATCACCAGCATCGCTAGGTTTCTTTCCGCTGCTGTCCGTACCCCTAGCCTTCAAGTCCCACTCCTTCGCATGAATAAGCAGCTCTTTTGTTATTAGGACGAACTCGCACTTACCCGCTGACTTCGCCCCTCTGTCCCCTTCTGCAGACAGAGGTTCGGGTGGCGTAAGGAGAGACCGAACACCAGGGTTTTGATTGACCATGAAAAAGGGGCACAGGACGCCATCCGTCGACAACAGGAGCAGGACCGGAGCAGGATCCAGAGTCTTCTCCTCACCTGTGAGAAAAATCACAGAAAAGCAGAAAGATTTTATTTCTTTATTAAGTCACCCTTAAAATACAAAACTGGGAAAGGACCAGGAAGCTAGCCTGGGATTTGGGAGATGTGAGTTCTAGTCTCCAGTGAGCTGTGAAATTCACCAGGTGATCTAGTTACATTAGGACCCCCATATCAGTGTGTGTGTGGGGTTGGTTCCGAAGCCCCCCCCCCACAGATTATAGCAAACGCTATTTTAACAATGAAGCCTATACACAGCAGGGTCTCTGACTCCCTCTAGTGGCCAGTTCTGGTCACTTCATCTTTAGAAATAGATATTTCTAGGATGTTTTCTTTTAATACCTCTTAACATTTTCAGACCCTGGATAAGTGAATCAGCAGATACTAATCCCACAGGTAAAGGGGATGCGCTGTACTTAAAAACAATTATGTGGTAAACCAAATGAACAGTAGAAAACTAAAGCCACGGTCAAATACAGCATCCCAGGACAAAGAAGAGCCGGGGGGGGCAGCTTGACCTCTTGTGGCAGGGAGTTCCAGAGTCCGGGAGGAGCCACAGAGAAGACCCTCCTCTTCCACGTCTGCCCACCAAGTGCGTGACATACTTACTGATAGTTATGGGCATGTTGTTTGTGTAATCGACGGCCAGGCCGACCGGCAAAGTGTCGTCGCTCTTCTCTGTGACGGGCAGCTCCGCCCGGCTCGAGTCTTCCAGCACCCACAGCTCCCAGTTGTTCTGAAAGAGGATCATTTTTAATTGGTTCCTGTTCTTTGGTCACCTTCGGTGTCTCGGTGGCGGCAAAGCCGTTTGGTCAGAGATTACAAAACAGAACCGCCAAAGGCTACCTGATCTCCTTGTCTTGCAAGGATGCTGACTTCTGCGGAAGCAGCCGAGGCGGCCAGGATCAGGTCCCTAAGAAACAAGAGAAACACACACACACATGCCCAACTGCTGAAATAGCGTGAAGAACAAACAATGAATAACCAAAACATGACAATCTCGCTGTAAACTTTTCCTGAACATTGTGCCCTGCACGGTCACCATCGCACTGACTTCCCTTGTGCAAATGCGAAAATGATTTGGACGGCCCTGGAAAGCCAATGGGATTTTATTGCTACTCAAGACCACTTACCAATCTTCGACATAGTTCAGGAAGTAGTGGTGCTGCCGCTCTGTGCAGCTGCCGTAGCAGGGCTCCATAAAATTAACGAACATCTCGGGCCTCTTCTCTTCCTTTTTCTGAAAAGCAGGACGGAACGGGAAAGGGCCTGTGAAGGGGCTTCCCACACACACACACACACACACGTCAGAGGCAACGTAGGGAGACAAAGGGCCCTCGTAGGTCGCAAAGGGACAAGGCGCGTCGGTTGCTAAAAAACCAAAACCCCTTACAATGTCCGAAGAGTGAAGCCAGCCTTAGGAGAAAGCCTTGTGCTTTCACTCTCTGACAAGACTGGACGACCCGACCCCTCTCTGCTGCGATTCCACTTTGTCAGGTGGCCCTTCAGCGAGCTGGAGGAAACTCGGGAAGGGTAACAACGAGCCAGCAAACAACTGGAAGCCACCCACAGTACAACAGACACGCACAGTGGACGGGGCCTTTCCCTGGCCACGAGCCATTTACGTACCGGAAGGAGAGCCACCACCACTTCGGGGGCGGTCTCCAAAGTGCCGTCGGCCGCCGCATACACGATCATGAAGACGTAGGTGCCAATCCACAAGACGTCCAAGACTAGAAATGAGAAGTGGAAGCAGAGGAGCCCGATTTTCACAAGTTATTTTACCAGCCCAACAAAGCCCCCCACCCCAACAAAAGGGAATGTGATACCTTTGACAGGATTGTCCGAATCATAGAAGGGAGGGCAGGGAATAGTCTTCTTTTCCTGTAGGTTCTGAAACACAGAACGAAGAGGGTGCTTAAGATTACGGGAACAAGAAAGCAAATGTGTGCTGCTTATTTCCTACTCCACTGCACTTAAAAGCGTTCTCTGGGTGGTTTACAATTTCATTCGTGCTGGTTTGTATTTTGGCTGAACGGGTGTTCAGTGCTCCCAAGCCCTGCTCCCTCCGCCAGGTACCCGCCAAAGGAGGCGGAGCTGGGAAGCGCCAAATCCATCTTTGGCTGAAAAACGAGCCAGGACAAACCACCAATCCCGTCTCTAGACACAAGGCAAGTTATTTTGCTCATTCCATACACAAAGAAGCAGAATGACTATAGCCTCACCAGTATTACTCAGGGACTTAAGCAACACACATGGCTAAATAGGCCACAACAGAGGATAACAGGTGCGTTCATATCAAATGAAAAATACACGTTTTTAATTTTTTTTATACATTATTCATGAAACATTAAATTCAAAACCTTTTTATTTAAAAACACTTTACAATTCCTTCTCCTCCATCAGCATCAGTAAAGGCCAATCTACAATTGGAGGCTTCATTTCAGAGAAGAAACCCTGGAATTCAGGGCTGACACTCTTGGGTTCCCTCACAAGGGCTTCAAAAATGTTTAAAACCTTTGAACAAAATCCATACTGTCCACTTTCGCCGCTACCCAGAAAGAAGTGGCCGAGAGAACAAGACGGCAGATTTCCTTGGTCCTTGTCTGAAAGTCTAGCCGCTAATTAACCTTTGCTTACGCAGTGCGTGGATAAGTTTTCCACACCGGTCAGTGAGTTTCTGCGTGCATTTTTGTTACCTACAGGCTTCACGATGAATTCCTGAATCATGGACTCAGAGGTGGGTAGCAGAGGGGAAGGTGGGGAAACAAGGAGAGAGAGAAAAAGAAACGACAAGAACGAAAGAGGAGCAGGGATTCAAAGCCTTACTGGTAGGTACTGGACTACAGTGCCATCTTGTTTGCCCACCGCCAACTGCTTTCCTTTGGGACTCCAGCACACTGGGGGGGGGGGNGAAAAAAAGAGAGAGGCCTTCATTAGCAACGGCAGCAGAAAAAGGAACATCAACAAGCTAATCAGGACGGTGTGGAAGACGACCCAGAATTCACATCCAAATAGCGAGGTCCAAAACTGACCTCAAATTTTGCAGAGAGCAAGGAAGAACTTTGGATTGTAATGGGTGAATGGATGGCAGGGAGGATCGGGTCAAGGCGTCACAGATTTCTAGACTCCCCCCAACTGGCAAAGGGTCCAAATCGAACCCTCTAGTTCCTCATTTATATTTTAATTGCCCAGGTCTCCTTCCGACTTCCCAAGGAACATGAGAGGTAATTCTGCCACGTGTCAGGCCCCTACAGCATTCCAGCCTCCTCCAGCTACTCTCTTTCTCTCTCTCTTTTTTAAAAATTTGGCCACAAGATGGCATGAGGAAGCTTTTTCAATAGGTTAAAAAAATTAGAGAACTATTCAGCACATGAACTGGCTGGCTTTCTACACTCGCCTCAAAGCCAGGCAACCTACCTGATGTAACAGCCACCGAGGCAGGGAGAGTGGCATACACCTTCACCCCATCCGTAACCTGCAGGACTGAGACGCTTCCGTCAGACAGAGAGACGGCCAAGAGAGAGGCGTTCATGGGGTTCCATTTCAGGTCGTTGATCAGCGCCACAGCCATCTTCTGATAGGCAAATGGACGCTTTTGCTGTTTTGCCTGTTAGGAAGAAATTCACATGGCCATGAAAGAGCAGCTTCTGGCCTGTTGTTACACATTAACACAGGCCGCCGCATGAGCCTGGCCTCCAACCTCTTCCCAGCTCAGTATTACGCTCTCTTGCCTCTCAATTAAAGGCAGGATTCTTTCAGCTTCAAGTCCTTTTGAGAAATAAACCATAGCTTTCGCAATCATGGCTGTGAACATTGTTTGTCGCAACAAACCATAGTTAAGATCAACTATAGTTTAGTGTTCAGATGCAATGCTAAACTGTGGTTGATCAAAGAGTCAGAATGTCTATCCCAAGAACCATCTTGTACATTTGTTTTGTGTATGTTGTCAACTCTCACCACAAGTAGAATTTTAGCACCTCACTAACCTTCTTAAAAGACTCTAGAATACTTCTGACTTTTACAAGATTCCTCTCTCTGCTCCTCTATGGTTGATGTGAAAATTCTGGGGACAGCTGGGTCAAGATGTTTCGAAACCAGGCAACTCACCTGATTCACAAAGGTGCGGACATCGTAAAAAGCAATGAAGGAGCCGACTTCGCTGGAGGCCATGCAGACGGAGAGTGTGAGGTTATCACAGCTGAGCGCCAGATGGTGCACACGGAACTTTGTGGGAACAAAAAGGCTCTGCACGTCCTCAACTTTAAAAATAAACAGAGACAAGTGTCAGGGAAAAACACAAGCAACTGTCAAGAAAACACAACACACTCGGTTTTTTAAAAAGAGTTAAAATCTCTGATCTTGATTTACTAACCCAAGACAGAGAGAGAAAGAGAGAGAGAGTGATTTAGGACTGTGGAGAGCACTACAAGTCCTCAGATAGAGATCAATGAACGGGTTTCAATGCATTTCAGTGGGGTTTTTAATTTTGCTTTACGATGTTTTTGCTTAACAGCATTTTCCTGGAACGGATTATCCTTGTTAAGTGAGACACCACTGTAGTTGCTACAAAGCTAGAACATTCGCTGGGTAGCTGTATATTTTGTATGTAGTAGTTCACACAAGAGATGGTCAGTGAAATACTATCTTTGGCAGGTCTTGGGGAGCGCACCCCAATCTAGAGGCTTAAATTAGCAGAATAATTATTTAATTATTCTGCTAATTTATATAACGCTTCCAGGCATTAGAACTACTTTGCACGTGCTGCCTTGCCCAAGTGTAAAAAAAAACCACATTTACCAATTTTATTCGGCGAATCACCAGCTTGGATCTGCATCAGAAGGTTTTTGGTCTGAAAGATCTTCAGCCCGGCTGTGCAACCTGCAAATACTAATCCATATTTGTTGGACACTGCAAGAAGGCTGGAGCGCTCTTTGGGCAGTTCTTCGGGAGTCTCAAAGATCCGTACTTTCTTCAGGGCTCGGAACTGAAAATCCTGTGGAGAGTCATATTTTAAAAGTATTTTTAAACATTAGACTGTCCAGATGTTCTGGAGCTTGTTTACTTCTAAATATACAAAAAACAACAACACACACACACGAACAAACAGGCAGCGTCATTACCATAGACCTGAAATAGGGCAGAATATGTCATAAAATTGCTGGTAAATTTTTTTTTTAATCCAGCTACACAGCAGAAGAAAATGTCCAGAGACCTACAGAGCAGATTATTAAGAAGTCTCCTTCAAACAGACCACCCTCATTGTAAGTTAATTATATTTTACCTCATTGATATAATCTCAAAAAATCAGAGCCTCTGATAGTGAGGAAGAATAAAACAGTGTCTCTTTTACTTACAAAATCTTCATATCGGATTACAAACAAGAACACATTCAACGGCACAACAGAATCTCAATATATATATTCAGTCCGAGGCTCCGGTGTTGAGAAAGAATTTCAAAACCTCTTTTACTTACAAAATCTTCGTACCAGAATACAAACAGAACGTATTTACCGGTTACATCGCATCTTAATGGGGCTAGGTTCATTAGTTCCTTCACTGACAGGTGAGGGTAGGCCTTCCTCACCTTCCCATCATCCTCACAGGGGGGCTTGGTGGGGACCTGGGAGAGGAGGGCCTTCCCTGCCAAAGACTGTGGAACTCCCTCCCACTGGAGGCCGGGCTGGGCACCGTCTTTTTGCTCTCCTTCTGCAAGCAGCTAAAAGACCTTTCCTCTCGGACAAGGTTTTCCCTCAGAAACATCGGCATCCTTGTTTTTTTTTTTTTTTTTTAAGCGTTTCAAGGGTCTCCTCCCAAGGAGGTAAGCCGCCTCGGGTCCTTTCTGAGGGGAAAAGGCGGGGTAAACACATATACAACCCTTTTAAACAACCGACTCCGTGACGGACGTGCCTCTCCTTCCCTCTTGGCTAAACCGGGCCCCGAATCCTGAGGTAACTTTTTTTTAAAAAAAAGGCGGGAAAAGGAGTCTGAGGTAAAAAAAGGGACCGTTTCTTAAGCGAGGGCCGCGCCTTCGAAGGCCTCCCGCTCGGGAGGTTGCTATTCTTCCCCGAGGGAAAGGAACGGGAGGACCAAAGGGAACTGGAGAGTAACGTTAAAGGAACGCGCGTTCCCTCAGGGCACCGCCTCCATGCCCCAGGCCGGGCCTTCCTCCTCACCTTCATCTCCCGCTCGGGGATGACGTCCATGTCGTCCCCCATGACGGACTGAGGGCGGAGGGAGGGGGGGGACACACCGGCCCGGCGCGCCCCCGGCCCGGACAGACTTCGCTCCGCACAACCAGAATTTTCTCTCACACACGAACACACACACAACGTCCCGTTGCTTTTTTTCTTCCCCCAGGAAGTCGGAGGGAACACAAAGAGGGACGGGCACTTCTGTTTCCGGCGACGCTCTAGCCAATCCCCCGCTAAACCTCTATGGAAATGACGTAGGAAAGGCAACTGCGCAAGTATCCCCTTCTCCTCCTCCCGCCGCCTTTTAAGCTTTTGGCGCCTTGGCTGAGGCGTTTATCTGTTCCCTCAGCGCGGTGGGCGAGCGAGACAAATGCCAGAGGGAGGGGGAAATAATAAAGAGACACAAGCCCAAGCGCTTCCGGTAGCTCTAGGCTCGGCTTCCCATTTCTATGGCGAGATCCCAGGGAGACGGAACGCCGCAGACCATAGACTTATGAAATAGACTCATCCAGCAGCCTCCTTCCGGGTTCTTTGCCCATTCTTTTTTTGCACCAGAGACTTGCCAGGTGGAAGACGGTAAAGATCGCGCACTGTGGCTGGTTTGAATACAGATTTGTGTATTTTACGGCCTCTGCGTGTCCCGCTTTATTCAATGCGAGAGAAGTCTTAAAATGAAGGTTCTGTGGGACAGTTCTGAGTTCGAAACCCCACTCCCCCTCCTTAACAGAGGCTGGACTTGATGATCTATGAGATCCCTTCTAGCAATGCAGTGATGAGGATGTGAAACATCCAAATTAAGGTTCAGTAACTTAGCGGGCTGGCTGGCTGAGGAGTTTAGGAGGTTAGGAGTTCGAAACCACCACCACCCCATGTCTCCTTGACAGGGCAAGCTTCTTTTTTGGGCTTCTGAGTTTATTGGTGGAATCAAATTACAAGAAAGGAGAAACAAGTGTACAGTTCTAATTCTTTTTTTTTTTTAATTTCTCTTTATACTTGTCACCCTACCTTCATATTTGGTGATCATTCTGTAGAAAGAAAGGTGGTAACAACATGGGAAGAAAGGTTATAAAGAGTCTAGAAACAAAAGCCCTACAGGGAAGACTTGGCCAAATGTAGTATGTTTATCCCAGAGGAGACTGAGAAAGCAGTATTTTAGGTCTGCCAAGCAGAAGATTTGGGCAAGCTTGTGTTTTTTGGGGGGCTCTTGAGTTTATTAAACTACAAGAAAGGAGAAACGAGTGTACAGTTCTAATTCTTTTTTAAATTTCTCTTTATACTTGTCACACTACCTTCATATTTCATGATCATTCTGTAGAAAGAAAGGTGGTAACAGCGGGATTTTGTCCATCTGCGTCCCTAGAAGCACGACGGTTAACCACAGAGTCTCGATTTGCTAAATTTTATTTAAAATCTTTGATTTACAAGCACAGAAACAAACCAAAAGGAGATGGGAGAGAAAGAGGAGAACGGGAGAAAGAACCAGAAAAGCAGCAGCAAAGGCGAGTGATGGGAGTAACAAGCAATCATGATCCCTCAAATGTCCAAGAGGCAGCAAAGAATAATCTTATTTCCAGAAGGCTCAGAGAAACTGGTTGCCGGGCTGGAGCAGACAGGGAAAGAAGCTTGGATTATAAAATTCAGGCTTCTAATTCTCACTGAGGTCAACAGAGAAATAAATTAAACATCCACAGAAAGACACACTCCGTTGAAAGATCCAGGTTTCCCCCTTAAGCATGTGCTGAAGCATGAAGATCGATAAAATAACTTATCCACTCTATTTGAAGCTAAGCTTGGTGCCGAGCAGTATGGTTTCTGGGGCAAACAAGAGATCGACAGGGTATAAAATAAACAACGAGCGCTGACACAGCAAAAGCACAGAATAACGTTTAGCTGGCTGGACCCCATCGCCTCCACAAAATACCTGCAGGTCTTCCGTGATGTGGCCAGAATGGGCCCCCCGGACGAATCCTTCTGCTGCGCCCTTTATCGTGAAGCTGATTTTCAGAAGAGAAGGTAGCTAAGGGAGGTGTCTTCGTGACAAGACCAACACAACCAGGATGGGTCCCCATCCGATGGTCAGTTGGTAGATTGTCCAGGCCCTTTCTAGCAAAACCTCTTTATCCGTTCCCAGCATTTTGGGGCACCCGGATGGCTCCTGTTCTCCTTTCAACCGGTGAAAATGAGAGCGGGATGGAAATGTGGAGGGATGGAAATGAGGGTTCTGGGTTTTATCGGCAAGTCACAGAATATCTGCTCAAACCGAAGAATGTGTGACATTTCGATAGAAGTCTGGGACTCTTCCACTTGAGGAACAGAGGGGGTTGCTCCCCGCAAATGAAATGAAATAATTCAGAGTTTGGATACTTTCCCCAGCCCTCATCATCCTCGGGGGCATTGGTACCTGTCCATCTTCAAATGACGAGCGCTGAAGGGGGAATCTCATAGCCAAGATTCCCTCTTTCGCTCCCCGGGGAGTAAAACCCAGAGAGAGTTCAGCACAACAGATAGGAATGATGGACCAGTGGCGCCATTAGAAATGAGATTTTTGAGGCCGATGTCTAGGGTCCCACTCTGTACAAGGAACAGGAACACCCCAAACACGGACGGTGGCCATGAAGGCATTTTGGAATAAGATTAATGCGGATTCTCCAGGCGGCAGAGCGGAAGGTGTACGACTACGAAGCCTAAAATCTAGATTTACCTGGCGGCGTTTCTCTTTAAGAACGCCAAGTTGTCTCTGATTTTCGACTCTGTGCGCTCAGAGGAGTGCAGCGGGATGAGTATACTCAATTTGCTTAAATAAACTCTGCTCAAAGGGGGTCAAACAAGTGAAAGATACCACCAAGAGGCAGGCTGTTGAAAAGGGAGCGGGCAACCACACTGCCAGAAGTCTGGGAAAAGTAGCTTAAAACTCTAAGAAGGCACTTGAGCATTTTGGATTGTAGTATGTCGGCATTCAAAATGGGAACCAGAGAGCCCTCCCTCTGTGCATGAAGCCCCTTCAAGAAGAGTTTTGCCTGCCTGGGTGACACTCTGCTGCAGAGGAAACATCCAAGTTACCCTAGTTTGCTCCAGAAAATAATCCAGATTGTTTTTTAAAATTAGGAAACCCTTGTTTTCCTTTTGGCTCCCCGGTTTCGTTTTTCACTAGCGAGAAGAGAAACGCGGCGAGCTACTGCAGACAACGGTTAAAAAAAATAAAACAACGACGATAGCTAGAGACGCTTCTTCTGGCGAATGTCCCTAGACATTTCCCTTGTTATTCCTTTTGCTAAGATGGGTTAGTTTATTGCTTTCTAAGACCATCAGGTATCAAGGCAGCCTAGCAGGAAGGCCCTACGACACATAGGGCCCAGGATGAGGGGGGTCAGGTCAAAGGGAGGGGGTTTGGCTTTGAGGAAAGCGTCTTTCCCTTCAAGGAAGGCTGGAGATGTCTCTCTCCGGAGGTGGACCCGAACGCCTCGGGGTGCTTTCGTTGGCTTTTCCTTCAAACATCATGACCCTGAAAGAAAAGGAGAACGGACAAAGAGAGATGAACCTAAAATAGCTCTTCTCAATGCCTGTAGACTTTGGATCCACATTCTTATTCTGGAGAGTCATGCTGTCGTTATTCTGGGCCACCGGGTTACCCCCAATTTAGGGTGACCCTATGGATGAGCAATCTTCAACAGCCTGGCCCAGCTCTTGCAACCCATCCCCTATTGGGTCTTCCTCTTTTCCTGCTGCCTTCCACCTTTGCCAGCAGGAGGGTCTTTTTCCAGGGAAGGTGGACCCCACGAATCCGCCAGGAAGAGGAAGGACTGGGTCCATCAGAAGGATGATCTCTGACCAGGTGTAGCCTGCATCATTAAAAATTGCAAACCGCCCAGAAGAAGAGGAAAGGGAAACCACTTCTGAGGATTCTCTACCCGGAAAACCCTGAAAAGGGTCTCCATGAATGAAAACTGGCTTGACCACACATCATGATGATGATGATGAAGTGACCTGGATTTTTTTTCTTGCTTATGTTTGTGTCTCAGATAAAGCACTAGAGGGCAGTCTTTGTCACGGGTATTTAAGCCAGAATTTCCCACTCCAAACGGGACTCAAAGACTGTCCCAGGTACACATGCGAAGAAAACAGAAACTGTAGTATAATAAAAATTCAAGAGACCTGGGTTCAAATCTTTTCTTGGCATGGAAACTCAAAGAGGGAGAATGTCTTACTCGCCTCGGAGACCCTTCCTATTGTTTGGTTCGATTTCTGCATCACCCCCCAGGTGCCGGCGAAGTTAAGTAAAAGGGCGATTCGTAAGAGTATTAAATAAACATCCATAGCTAGACTGCGTCCAAGCATGGAGGCTCCGCCAATACTCACAACTTGAGGACTGCGGATCGTTTTCCAAGCATCACGTTGACAAAATCTTGGTACGAGATGGTGTCGCTGACACCACCGGTCACTTCTGAGATCATTTTCTTTAGCTCAAGGTGTGTCTTAGGGGCTCCCAGTTTCTCCATCATCCTTTTGACTGACATCAGATCTACATACAAACAATGAGACCGGAGAGTTAATATGGCGTAGCGACTTTCTTTCTTTCTAGGTTTTGCCTAGCCTCTTTCTGGTTTAATATCAAAAAGCTCTCCAACACTGGAGGCCTTCAAGAGAAAACTGGACCGCTGGATCTGTCCGATCTGCTTGGATTTGGGTTCCTGCCTTGAGCAGGGGGCTGGACTAGATGGCCTTCGAGGCTCCCTTCCAACTCCATCATCCTAGGATTCCACGGATATTTAGACCTTGAGATGCATGTGAGATATTTCTCCCGCACTTAAAACACAACAACAGGAGGCGGGAGAGAGTTCCTTACTCCTTAACTGATTCCCCATCATGCCTGAATGCTGGTTATGCTGGCTGTGGCTAATGGGAGTTGGAGTTCACCAGCACCCAAAAAGACTCCCCCTGCACCGCCGTGACTGTCTTCATTAGCTGGTGCTCCACCTCACACGGGAAACAGTAGGTGTACCACCCCATAAAAATCTACTCACCGATTTCCCCTTGGTTATTCAAGTCAAACTCCATGTATTTCTCTGTGGACAGACAAGGACAGTCATCAAAATCAGCCCTCCCACCCGTCACGGGCTCTTAGGATTCTGGTGTGTTTCCTCCTTGACTCTCACAACCGCCCTGCAAGGCAGGGCCAGGAGGGGAAAAAAGAAGAGGGACCAAAGGCTCCCTGGGGACGAATCAGCCTCTGGCAATGCAATGATGTTAGAACAAGAGGATGGTGTAAAAGAGGAATTTGGCCAAAGGGGAGCTCAGGACGGGCCTCTGAGGGATTTTAAGGTTGCAGCGCTTGGCAGGGCCAGTTGGAACAGCTTCGGCGAGAGAGAGAGACCCTGCCAGCTGGCCCCAAACGCCGTTCCCTAAGCCCCTGTAAAGATGCAAATACGTTTACTGATGCAATCGCAAGTTAAAACCGAGACATACCATGAGCACATACATGGAATCTTATTTGCAAGCACGCCCAATTTCATCTACTGTACAGTATTTGGCTTTTTCTCTAGTGTGTCCGTATAGCCATGCTTCTGCCAGGCCCGCGATCCCTCTAAGCGATGCCAAACTCTTTCATATGGACTCAGCGGCTGTCGGCTTCAAGTCCAGTCAAGGGCTAGATCGGGACATCCAATGAACAGTCTAACATCTAATCGTTTGACTCTTTTAAAATATTTGTATACCTCTTGTTTTTCAGCTTTCAAGTACAGTCCTTTTAATGATGTAAGCCGCCTCTGGTCCTTTTAAGGAGAAAGGCGGGCTAAAAATATTTTAAATAAGTAAGTAATAATAAATAAACATTTGTTAGTAACTCAGAGGGGGAATCTGGTTCTGGTTGAATTTTTCCTGCCAATATTTCCTTGACTCTTAAACAGCAAGAGTGCCGTGGTTAATCCGACAGTCCAAAAATTATGATTTCCCCCCTTTCTTCCGCTTAGGACTCCGAGCCCATCCTGTCGGTCGTGGCTGATGGGTGGATTTCTGCAGATCATCGAGTTCAACCCTTGTGAAAGAGGCTCGTCGTGGCCGATGCGTGGATTTCTGCAGATCATCAAGTTCAACCCTTGTCAAAGAGGCCCCGTGGGGGAATCAAACTCCTAGTCTCTAATTCTGCAGCCAGAGATTTCAAGCCCTGAGCTCTCCAGGCCCTGCCTCTCCCCCCCCCGCTCTGTTTCTCCCCCCCTCACCGCCTGCAAGCTGGAAAATGCCCTTAACTGGTTTTTCTTGCTTTCTTCCGCATTGTTTCTCAAAATACCTCCAGGTTCCCTTCTCCCCCCCACCCCACCCCCTAACCTTCTTCTTCATCTTAAATTTCTGGTTTCACTGTTGCACCCTTTTAAGCCCAGATACGTGAGATCCCATTCTTCAGACCTGGCACCCTTCCCGTATTACAAAAAAGAGAGAGAGAATCAGAGACTTTGCAAACAGGGAGCAAACAAAGCTGCAAGCAAGCCTGGTGGGGGATAATTATTTTGGGAGTCGGAGGGTCTGTTGCTCAGGACAGACTTGCAACGTAGAGACATGTCATATTTTCTTCTGCAGCCTATGTTTGAATTTATAAGTAGTTTTGGACATGTATCCGAGTAACCTGGTGAGAAAGGCCAGCTTACTCATAAACATGTTGGAACTGGCTTGTGGTTTCAAGAAAAGGTTGCAGAGAAAGCGTGACATGTCATAGAAATTATCGTTCCCACCACTAGATACTGGCAGACAAAATGATTTGGTGCTGGAGGAGAGCTTTGTGGACAACCTGGACTGGCAGAAAGACAAACAAGTGGGTCCTGGATCAAATCAAGCCTGAATTCTCTCCAGAGGGGAAAAAAAATGTTGAACCCGGGGCTGTCCTATTTGGGACACCTCACGAGAAGGCAGGATTCCCCAGAAGAGACTGCCATGCTGGGAAAGGTGGAAGGTGCATATGAATAGGAATACTTAAATTCTCTGTCCCTTGAGAATACATTTTGAAAACCTTCTGCAGCCCCTCACATTCTCCCTCCGTAATGATAACCCCCCCGAATGATGCTGGGTTTAGTCCACTTACTCTAAGAGAACCCACATCTCCTTTTCCTCCCCTGTTCAGTGGGGTGCAATCCTGCCCTAGTATGCATGCATGCTCGCTCCTTCACTCCCTCGATCGCACACACACACACACGCACACACCCGAATAGCTTCGGCACAATTCTGCAAAGCCTTTCTCTCCACACATCCCCCCCCAAACCACAGCGGTTGGAACAATTGGCCAATTGTTGAGCCCCCGAGAGGAGGCGTTTGGCAGGGTGGCAGGGCCGAGAGCGACCGGACAAGACCTCCCATCGCTCCGGAATAAAAACCGCACGAGGTGGCCAAGGGTTTGGGGGAGAGAAGGCGAGTTTTTTGGGAGGGCTAGAGTTTCTTTCGGAGCCAACCCCACCACCGTGGTGACCCCTGCATGGCGAACTTGTTTTCCTTCTCAAAGTATCATGATTTTTCTTTGATATTTAAATCCACTCCCTGGAGCTCGCTGGAGAAAAGCAGCATATAAATGGAAATAGCAAACAAAGAATTAAAAAAGTTAATAGGATTTAAAAGGTAATAACTGGGGGGCTTACAAGCAGAAGATAACAGTTGCTTGGAAAGAATAAAGTTGGAAGAACCAGCGCTCTCTATTCCTGATTTTAGCCCCGAGATCCATGTTTGGAAACCTAATTAAAGCAGGCAAACGGCCCATTTAAGTCCCTCCTTCCCAGTTCTCCCCTTTTGGGGGGGGGGTCTTTCTAAAGCCCACGGACAGATTACCTTTAAAAACGGCAAGTTTTTCTTCCAAATCCTCTTCATCGCTGAACTTTGGGTCACAGAGAAATTCCTGAAAGGGAAGAAAGAAAGAAAAAAAAAGAAAAATTAGGTTTTTTTAAAAGCCCTCAAGACATTTCAGGAAGTCACAAACCTTCTGGACGGATTAATAAAACCCGTTGTTGAAATGAAAAAAAATAAAATAAAATAAAAAAGAGCCTCAAGAGGTATTAAAAAGCAACAAAACCTTCAATATCCTCTCACAGTGACACAGATGGCTACTGGCCCAGGATTCATTTTTGTCATACAGCCGCCCTGCCTAAATGGAAATATAGAAAATAAACCGGAACAAATAAAACAAAATAAACTCTAAAGTGGCATTTTTTATTTTAAAAAATAAAACAACAAATTAAGGAGGACAAGCAGTCTTCGAGTCTGTCCCTCTATCGCTGCTCTCAAACCGAGGCCGACGTGTTGGTCCCTCTCCATGGAGGGGCAGGTCTTTTGTAAAGCTAATGGGTCTTTGATGTGTTGGTCCCTCTCCATGGGGGGCAGGTCTTTTGTAAAGCCAATGGGTCTTAATCCCCCATTCAAGTTACCCCAAATCATTCTGCGTGACCCCCCGGGATTGTTTGTAATAATACGATCAGCCTCGGGAATTCGGGGAATCGCAACCGAAAGACACAAAATATGGACACAACCTCTAATGAAAAAGAGAGAGAGGAAGAGTTTCTGTAGTCCTCGCCCAGCCATTCCGTTCAAACGGGTAGAGCAAGAGGAGTGGGCAGGCGAAGCCCAGGGTGGCCACAGATTCCCCCTTTTAGAGATCACACTCCTCTCTTTAAAGGACGGTCAAAAAACCCACAATCCTCCTTTCAGAAGTGAAGGAAGGGTCCACGACCTTTTCAAGCCTCGGCCCCCTTACGCTCGTTGGTGCCCGTTGCCAAGCCCCCTTTTTGGGGGGGCAACATGCCAGCGGGCATGCTCCCAGAGACCCAGCGCAGGTGTTGTGGCATGTACACACACCCACACCCGGAGGGAGGGGACCCTCTCGCTTGGCCCCCTCCATCCGCAGCTGCAGGCGGAGAGCCGCGTCCTTCCTTTCCGGCACCCACCCCTCTGCCCTTAAGAGCCCCGAGGAATTTCATGGCTCCGGTCCCTCCCCTGCAGTTTCCACACGGCAGAAATCTCGGACATCTGCTGTCCATTTGGGGGTGAGCCCGGTTTCCCTCCTCCTCCTCTCCCTGTACAGAACAAGCACCCTCCACGCTCTCGCTCTGCTGGCAGGATGCGGCCCAGCCCACGTGTCTCTTTTCCAAGGCGCGCTGCAAAATTTTAACGAGGAACATGCACAGGTTGCAGGAGAGCCAGGTGGTTTGCGACACACAGACTCGGATCACGACAGTGCGCAAATCAGCCTTGCCCAAGCAGGTGACCTCAAGAGGACGGTGGACATCTGGACACTTTTGGTCCCGTCTTCCTCTTTTTCAGGGGGGTTTCCCATCCCAACTTTTAAGTGCAGAAATCTGGACCTCCCGCCTGTAAAAGTTGGCCAGAATCATCATTTTAGGACTGCAGAGCTGGAAGGGACCCTGTGGGGTCATCCAGTCCAGCCCCTTGTCAGGGAGGCCCCGTGGGGGGGATTCGAACTCCTAACCCTCTGGCTCCACAGCCGGAGAGCTAAACCCCTGAGCAATCCATTCTTCAGGTGGATGGAGCTCAGAAGAGTCCCTTTATTGGACTAAAAACTGCATTAGACTTTTCCCTTTAAGGATGCCGGGTTTTAGGGGTGCCCGCATTGCGATTCAAAATCTGTGCATAACTCTTATGCCCCCCCAATGTAACTACAAAGCATGGACACTGGATTGACATTCACACGCATGCAGAGAATGGCTCTCTCTATCGGGGTTCCTTTCCGTCACACTGACCGTCCTTTCCACGCAGTACGCTGTGTCGTCAGCCTTCAAGGTCCTCCGGACCCCCTGATCGAGGGGCTGAATTAAAGGCAAGTTTGGGGGCAACCAGGCCGCGTCAACGCCTTCAGTGTTGAATTCACGGGGTTCTGGATGGCAGGGGCCACGTATTTACTGCGGTCCTCTTCTCTCTCCCACCCACCCCGCTTCACAGTCCACCCGTCTGGACTCTTGAGAAAAGCTTCTGTTCTTCCCCATCAGGTCCTGTCCGGCCCCAGAGGCGGGCAGTGACCTTTTCCCTGCCATCCACGGGCAAGGCTGGTATGTCAGCTATGCCACCGCGATGTTGGAGGCCCGGGGGGCGAGATCGAGTTTGGGCTCTCTCGTAATTGAAAAGATAATAATACTAATAATAAAGCAAAAGGCAGGAGGGGAGAAGCAGAAACCACTATTTCTGGATTCTCTGTCCCGAGAGAGAAGCAGCGCTGGAAAGAAGGATAAAAGATCACGAGAGCGAGGACCGCCGTTCCAAAGAGCAAGAAAAAGCCGCCAGGGTGTTCCTACAACAGTTTTCTCTACCACGCTGGGAGGCATATGTTATTCCCTGGATTTCAAAGCAAAAGAGGGGAAGTCTGCTGGTTGGGGCGCTGAAAATCTGCTGGGAGACTAGTCGGTTGGACTGGGAACACCGGTCCGAGAGTTTGGGGTGGGTGGGAGGGAACAGAGAAGGACGAGGCTCTGTCGACCCTCTCCGCAGAGTGAGACCCCGTGCAAATTCCAGAATCCGTGGAAGTGGCCGACGCCTGTATCGGGGTCAATGGTCAATGCAGAAAAGAGGGGAGCCCTTGGCTGTACAGAATCCTTCATCAGGCGGGGAGTGGGGGGGTGTAGGTGTGAAAAATCGGAAAAGGGGGAGAAACTGGCCTGACGTGACTCTTTTGCCTTCGGGAAATTGGCCTGAACTGACCTGCAAATTACATTTAATCTCCTTGGCTCAACCCGGCCTGGGGTTTCTTCTGCATCCTTGCCGCGGCCGACAAAGTCGGAGAGGCGGCGTGTCGCCTTTGTCTCCCCAGGGACGACCCTCAGGCGATCCGGTGGTGTGTGATCCTGCAAGCCGTCAAGCCTTAACTTGGGACAGAGGTTCCTTTGTCGGCCCGTAACAACCAAGTATCCGGATTTCAGTGTTGTTTTCCCTTCCTCTTCTTTAAAAAACACACACAAAAGAACAAGTGTGAAGTCTTCCACTAAGCTCAAGAACCTACACAATTTTGTGCACATGCTGTCGATCGCAATGGAGGCATTGTCTATCGGCGGTGCCTGAGAACTGAGGTCCATAAAGTTTACTCGGAGAGATCTGCTCATTTTTTAAAGCCGTCTGGCAAGACTGCAGAAGCCCGGCATAAACAACATAGGCTAGGTTTTCCTTGTTTTAAACTCAGCGTCTAACAATCGTTCTAAGAACGACAATATCACAAAACAATCGTGTGTTGTCAAGTCAGTTCTGATTCATGGAGACCCTTTCCAGGAAGACTCAGAAGTGCTTTACTCTTCCCTTCCTCTAGGGGGCGCCCTGGGATTGTACAGCTTGCCCAAGGCTACCTAGGCTGGCTTTTCTCCCAGGAGACACAGGGAGGATTCGAACTCCCAACCAGATAATCAAACCATTGAGCATCGTGCGCAGTCAAGCCGATTCTGTCAAGTCCCTGAGTAGGGAATTGGACTGGCAATCTCTGGAACCAAATACGTAACCCACTGAGCTAGCCAGCCACGATACTCCAAAACCTCAAGAGTTCTGGAGTAATTAAAGGAAATAAAAGATAGATCAATGGTTGAAAAGATGACCCTATGAACTGTGGCTTTCTAATAAAAATGAACTCGTTCTGGATGTTTAGTATCCATGTGCATAAATTAGGTACAATGCATGAGTACGGTAAATGCACACATTAGAAGAAATAAACTCTTCCGAAATGTATATGAATTTGAACGCAGGATTTTTTTTTAAAAAAAGCCGCACAACCCGATATGGCACAAGGTTGGGAAGAAAGGGGAAGAAGTTCAGAGGAACATAATGAAATATTTTTGTATCTGTAGCTTAGATCTTTTCTCTTCCCTCTCTAAGGCAGGCTCGGGACGAAGTTGCTTGAATTTTTAAAAAAGAAAGTAATTAAAACCTGGCAGAGTGGGGGCCAGTTAGGAAGAGCAGTGGTTTTCAGAGAGGAAGGGGGGGGAGAACGAGACGCAAGGAGCTTCAAAGGGCAAAGCGTTAGAGAACGTGCAACAGGAAAAGGGATTTAAGTTGCATTTTTTGCGGGGACAGACAGCTGTTTTAAAAACAAATCTCTTCCAGAGGTTCCCCCACTCAAAAATGTGGGAGGGGGGAATTAAGGCTTGCACCTTTCGACAAACTTGGGCAGAGATGGAAAATGTTAATTTTTTGACTACAAAACCCCAGAATCCCCAGGCAGCACGGTCATAAATGCCCCAGCTGCCTCTGGAGAGCCCTCTTGTTTTAAAATCTCATTCTCCATAACAGGGGACCTGTCGCTGTATCCAGAGTTTCTCAAGCTGGGTTTTCCGCCTGCTGTGGCTTGAAACCAGCATCCAAAGCTACCGATCAGGCAATTTTTTACTAGCAACTGCAGTTTGCAAAGAATAGGAACGGACAGGGAGACACCGAAACCTTTCATTGTTGCGTTTTGAGACAAGCCCTTGGTGTTAGAGACATTTTGAATCTTGAGCTACGCCAGCTTCGTGGTCCCTGGGTCCAACAGGAACTGCAGCCTCCGTCCGGAACCACCCACACAACATCAGGCGCAGATCCTCATATCCCCACGTCAGCAAAGGATTGCCAATGAAGGCGGTTAGCCCTGTTCTTGTGCTGTTGGAACGCTCAATGCTTGTTGTTGCCAACGATGCTAAATCTTCAAAAAAAAAAAATTAACAGTAGTTGGGCGGGAAGAAATCTGGTAGGGGACGGCTTGATGGGAGCTGCGATCTGCGAAGGACCAACAGTTATAAGAGGCCAGGCTTCACCCCTGACACCTTGCTATCCGAGGGAGCATCAGGGTTGGCGCAGAAGCACTGGGAGAGGGAGAGAATTGGCAGTCTTAAAGCTATGGAATGACCAGATCCCTTGGGATCTCCTCTCAGCTGTCAATTGATGGTAGAGATATCAACCAAGCCATTTCTTAAGCCTTACTCAGAGATGAGCCCCATCAAGCTCTTTCAGACCTCTTTCTATCCCAGTTAGTCCTCCTTAAGAGTTACTCCTTCAGTCTAAGAAATGGTGCCTGTTTGGCTTTTTTTCCTCTTCCCTCCTCCTCCTCTTTTCCTCTCGTGTTGTGAGAAGGCGGCATTGATGGGATTGACGTCTCTACTTTTTAAGACTGCAAGACTGCAGTCCAGCCATTGATAGCTCAATGATTTAGGTTTGGTTGGGAGTGCGATTCCCCGCTGTGCTTCCTGAGAGTAGAGCCAGCCTGGGTAGCCTTGGGCCAGTGGCACCATCCCAGAAGAAGGGAAGGGGAAAACCACTTCTGAAAACTCTCTACCTGGAAAAAAGGGTTTCCATAAGACAAAACTGCCATGAAGGCACACAATTGTTATTGGTTACCGAAAGGAACTTTTTTGTGTTCCGCTGGAGACGCATCCTGATCATCGCCACCCACCGGAACGAGCTCTACATCCTGTTCTCTCTTCGCTCTGCAACATCCTCTCCATCTGTTCCAATTAGCAGCAAATATTCCTAATGCAAGTGACGGACGGTTCTCTGATCATGATCATCATCATGATCATCATCACCAACTTGCCAGCGTCTCTTTATTGAACAGCACACGGCTGCCTATAAATGACAATTGGGACTCATGTTTTGAAGTTAACCGAACCAAGACACTCTCGCCCCCCCCCTAAAATTGTTCCCAATTCGAACATGACCCACTGTGGGTGGCATTTGGGGGTGTGGTGTTTATCTGGAAGTGTGGGTCACTTGAAACCCCCTGTGAGCACCTGGCCCCATACGGAGAGAGATCAAGAGAGAGATGGATCAAACTTAACAGGAGCTGGATGAGTGCAGATAAACTTCTGAGAAGCAGGTCTTTGGTACTGTTAATGGCTCTAGATGGCCCATCCAAGACCTAAACACCCACAAATACTTTGCACAGCAACAGGGGTGGATTCGAACAATGTCCCCTCCACATCCATCTCTATCCCAGCAACGATGAAGACCGCAGCTAAGCTTAGGAAGAACACAGAAACAGGAGCAAAGGTAGTGAAAGCTATTAGAGCCGTGCCAGGCTCCCATATCCCCTCGGTTATCTTTTTATTTCACTTTTTCCATGAGCTGAAGACACGGTAGATATTTATCCTTCTTCTCCCTTGTACCGACACAACAGCCCTGCGAGGCGTGGCAGGTTGAGAGCGAAGGGGTTGGTTCCGGGTCACGCCGTGTGTTTTCACGGCCAAGCGAGGACTCTGAACCTAAATCTTTCAAATCCCAGTCCAACAACCTCACGAACTATCCAAATACGTACATTTTAAACATTTTACACATTTTTAAAAAAGCAGACTTTAAGTTCATTCCTCCTGTTTTGACCTCACCTGATCTCTTTGACCCCCTTTAAGCTGCACGCTATTAATTACAACCGACTTCTCCTCCCCTAGCGGTATTACAACTCCGATCGTCCCCAAATAGGATATATATTTTAAGTCCCATCCTCCCCAGGCGGGATTCCTCAAGCTGGGGACCAGGCAGGAGCGCTTAGATCTCGGCAGTTTTGGGAATGGAGGGGGGGAAGAGAGCTAAGACGGGCAGGTGACATGGTGGTGGGGACCCACTAAGGGGACAAAATGATTCATCATCATAGTCCTTTGAGGACTGCAGAGCTGGAAAAGGCTGGACCCTGTGTGGATCATCATGGAGGCACCCGGGGGGAATTCGAACTCCCAACCCTCTGGATACGTAGCCAGGCGCCTAAACCACTGAGCTCTCCAGGAGATCTATGAAGGCTGAGGATCTTTAAGATCCCAAGGAATCAAGAGTTGGGAAGTGCTTTTGAGTCCCTGGAGAAAGGAAGGGGTCCAGGGGACCTCATGTCCACAGAGGAAAGAGAGGGAGGGATCACCTACCTTGTTGATCTCTTCCAGCCTCCCTTCCTGCTTGGCTTTGAGTAATCCGTAGGCTTTCCCTCCTAGGACGAGTAAGCAGAAAAGCGGATGATGTCTCCCAAGGCGGGCAAGCGGCAGCTGCCCCGCCGCAGCTGAACTTTGCCGCAACAGGTGCTGGGGGGGGTCTCCTCTCCAGAGAAGCAGGAGGAAGGGGCTTCCCCCCCCTCCCTCTCTCCCCCCCCCAAAGTACAAGCCAGGCTGGTTCCTTAGAGGTTTGGAAGCCACCCCCATCCCTCCCCAATCTCCAGGGAAGACCGCCGGGGGGGTGATTTGTGAGCCTCTTCAGTGCCAAGGAAAACACGGGAAAAGTTCGATTTTTTTTAAAAAAAGAGAACTCGTCTGGAACTTTTCGGGACTCTCTACAGGGTGAGAAGACACCTTAATTTTTTTTTCCCGCGTGAAAAAGCAACAGAAATAAAGTAGAT